TTCCCGCATTTATTATTATATTTATCAATATAACTTATGTACAAATATAAATTTGTAATATTCCACAGGAATAAATAAAACAACATAAATAAGATAAACTATTTTATTAATAATACTTTCCCAAATTGAATAATAATTTAACACCAAATTTTATACCTTAAAGGTTGATTAATTAACTTTAATCTAATTTTTTTAAACCAGTACCTTTTGACATTATTTTTCTGCAGTGTGATGTCGATATTTTACAGCTACTCCAGTAGTATATGTTTACTACGATCCTTGTAGCATATACTATACAAACTTTATTGATGGTAACTTTATTGGTGTATAAGACTTTCTGCCTGGGCAGCGAGTATTAACTATAAATTGTGTTCTGGGTCTACAGATAATTTACTCTCGATTTTTCCTCCACTTGACTTCAAAAGACACAAAACACACGCAATAACACGAATTAAAATGCATCATAATCCAAAACGCAGCTATTTGACATAAGTTGAAACAAATTTATAACCTATAATTTGGCAAGACTTTGACAAGCCTCAAAAATCTAAAGGCGAGTTCATACGCATCGGCGTCCGTTTGTCGTTCATCGTTCCGTCAAATACGTCAAACCAATAAAATTGAAATATGATCTGTCATTTTTGAAATAAACCAATAAAACTGGTTAAAAACAACAAGAGACGACGCATGACGGATTTATATTTAAACCCATCCATAGTTAACTTAAAAAATATTAGAAACTTTTTTTAGTAAAATAAATAGATTGGTATGGGACGTCATCTGCTTTATTTCTGTCATCGTCTGTCGAAATCTTACCTGAGAAAAAAAAACAGAGTATAGTCTGTCCAACGAGAAGATCCTTGACAGTGATAGATGTGTCTGTCATTTTAATTTCAAAGTAGTTTATTTTATTTTACAAAGAAATAAGTTGGTACAACTGGAACGCATAGCAGGAAATTAATATATTTATTTAAAATTTGACTGACAAGTAACTTCAAAATATTGTGAAAAAACTGTATAAAACTAAAAAAATGTAATCGGGTTATTTTATTTAATAAAAAATCGGTATGTGTTAATACAAAACAAACAAAAAACAAGACACCACATACCAAAAAATATATAAAAGAACTATTTCTTACTTTCAAGCTTTATGAAACTTCCCGCATTTATGAGATTATATTTATCAATATAACTTATCTACAAATAGAAATTTGTAATATTCCGCAGGAATAAATAAAACAACACAAATAAAACAAACTATTTTATTAATAATAACACTTACCAAATTTTATACCTCACAGGTTGATTAATTAACTTTAATCTTAATTTTTTTAAACCAGTACCTTTTGACATTATTTTTCTGCAGTACTAAAATCCATTATTTACCTATCGTGTGATGTCGATATTTTACAGCTACTCCAGTTTTTAGTATGTGTTTAATTAACTTATTGGTGTATCTGTATAAGACCACAGTATAAGACTTTCTGCCTGGGCAGCGAGTATTGACCATAAACTGTGCTCTGGGTTCTACAGTTAATTTTCACTCGATTTTTCCTCTACTTAACTTCAAAAGACACAAAACACACGTAATAACACGAATCAAAATGCATCATCTTCCAAAACGCAGGGTATTTGACAAAAGTTGTCACAAAATTATAACCTATAATTTAGCAAGACTTTGACAAACGTCAAAAATCTAAAGGCGAGTTCATACGCATCGGTGTCCGTTTGTCGTTCATCGTTCCGTCAAACCAATAAAATTGAAATACGATCTGTCATTTTTCAAATAAACCAATAAAACTGGTTAAAAACAACAAGTGACGACGCATGACGAATTTATATTTAAAGCCATCCATAGTTAACTTAAAAATTATTAGAAGCTTTTTTTAGTAAAACAAATAGATTGGTATGGGATGTCATCTGCTTTTCTTCTGTCATCGTCTGTCGAAATCTTACCTGAGAAAAAAAACAGAGTATATACGATTTGAAGTTAAAATTTAACCTTCAATAACTTTCCAACGAGTCGATTAAATGAAATTCTCAGACCTTTTTTGAAGACTGTTCAATTTACTACTTACTTTACTTTACATTGATTGAAAAAAACAGAGCATACATTTTTTAATTTTTATTGTTTATGCTTTTATGAACAATAATTTATATTTTAGAGACCCCACAGACGCTCAGTTCACCTTCGGAGTTCGCGCGCGTTTTTTCGAAAATCTGGAAAAATCATATTATCTAGCATATTTTATGAGAAGTGTACGTTTGCACATTGTTTAGTGTAGTTAGTGTCTTTTTATACTCATATGCGAAGTGCCAGTCCGCGCGCGACCGTTTTTAGGGTTCCGTACCCAAAGGGTAAAAACGGGAACCCTATTACTAAGACTTCGCTGTCCGTCCGTCCGTCCGTCTGTCACAAAGGTCTATCTTATGAACTGTTATAGCTAGGCAGTTGAAATTTTTACAGATAATGTATCTGTTGCCGCTATAAGAACAAATACTAAAAACAGAATTAAATAAATGTTTATAAATAAAAAAGTACTTTCACTAAACATTATCTTTTAAGTAAGACTTTTACATAGAATCTTTCAAGTCCTCGGTGGCCGCGTGGTTAGGCAGTTGAAATTTTTACAGATAATGTATCTGTTGCCGCTATAAGAACAAATACTAAAAACAAAATGTAAGCATTAAATGTTATAAACAAAAAAGTACTTTCACTAAACATTATCTAGTGGGTAGCTGTACTTTTACATAGAAAAATCTAGTCAAGTCCTTTCGGTGTCACTTTTTAAATCGTTTCTACCTATTACGCTATTTGACGCGGGAGCCGTAGTAAGGCAGGTTCTGACCCTAGTATCCTGGCTAAAAAGAAATCTGCTGTCGCAGAGAGATGCGTACAACTTTATCTTAGATGAGGAACTATTCGGAAACAAGAAATATCCATCTTATCTGATAGCTAGCAAAGCTAAAGCGCGCATAATACTTTACATTTTATTTTTAATTTCAAATGGGTGAGTTTATATAAAAAAAATACAAGGGATAAAAAGTTTCTAAACAAACTAAACTATCCAAATTAAGATTTTTGCATGTGTTTGATAAGATTTTTTCTTTTAAATTTTCGTTAACAAGAATGATAGGGTAGCTTATTTCAACCCCTTCACTCATTTTAAAAAAAGTGAAAAAATTACCAGAAAGTGTGTTTCTCATAACAGTAATGTTTCCATAAAATTCCCTTCATTAGTCTATCTCTTTTCGTTTTCAAGATAAAAAAATAAGAACATAATTTTTCCGCCATCTTTGTACCGCGATATCTCCCTAATGGTTGACTTTTGACCCAACGTTTATGATAGTCAAACTACCCTTTATTTGATCAAAAGAGTATCAATCACCCTGAAATTGGTCAAAGAATGTACAGAGAAGCTGAATAAATTAGGCAAAGAAAAACAAAAGTCCTCCTATTACTTGGGTGCCTGCTCACCATGATAGAAGTGGCAGGAAAGCAAATAATCTAGCTAGAAAAGGAGCGAACACCAATTAACTGGACCAGAACCGTTCTTGCTTTCCAAGTGGTAAACTGCAACTCAAGGCGGGAACTCAAGCAACTTGGGAAGACTCCATCCGCAACCTGGAATGGAAATCTTGCAATGGTCTAAGACACTCTCGGAAGAAGTTTCTGAGGGCTTATGATCAAGAAAATCACAGATCTTCCTGGGTCTGAGTAAGAACAATCTTCGGATTGTCACGGGTTTTTAACAGGACACTGTCTCCTCAATGAACAACTCTCAGTAGATTGAAACTCCGCGCGCGATCGTTTTAGGGTTCCAAAACCAAAGGGTAAAAACAGGGAACCCTATTACTAAGACTTCAAGGTCCGTCCGTCTGTCACAAAGGTCTATCTTATGAACTGTTATAGCTAGGCAGTTGAAATTTTTACAGATAATGTATCTATGTTAAGCCGCTATAAGAACAAATACTAAAAACAGAATTAAATAAATGTTTATAAATAAAAAGTACTTTCACTAAACACTGTATCTTTTTAAGTAAGAATTTTACATAGAATCTTTTCAAGTCCTCACTGGCCGCGTGGTTTTAAAGTGTTAGGACTTTTACGCTGCTATGACGTTGGAGCAGTAGTAAGTCAGGTTCGAATCCTAGTCAAGGCGACTTTTTTAATCGTTTTTTTTTAATTTTTACATATTTATTTTTACTTTTTACATATTTATTATTGATCAATAGACTTTTTAGTAATGTGTTTCTTCATTTTTTTTAAATTACTTATACGTGCATTCAAAATTTCAGCTAAATCGGAAAAAAAGTTTATAATATAGTGTCTAATGTTGTATAGATAATGAATGGTACGGAACCCTTCGTGCGCGAGTCCGACTCGTACTTGACCAAAATTTTTTCATTATTATTTATTTTTGTTTTTGAATAATATTTATTAGTTTGTGCCTTTGCGTGTTTTATGTTATATATTGTATGTTTATGTTTGCTGTTTGTAATGAAAAAAGTCATTAAAGAGTTTCTAATTTGATTATCATATTATTTTATGTCTTTACACCACTAGCAACGCTTAAGACCTCTTGAATTTAGCATGCGGACTCGCGCTGCCTTCTTAAAAATATCTTAAATTATTAATAGTTTAACAGCTGCTTCCCTATTTGCTTCCGAATCCATCTCCTTTAGTTTAGATTTTCTACTATATGGAGCGTTAATGTTATATGGATAAGATGCGAATTCCTGTCACAATAATCCCTATTTTTTATTTTCCGGGTTTTGATTTGACAATTTATTTGATACTAACAAAATTGTTGAATAGGTGTTTCAATAGAAACTAAATAAAATAAACTGTCTTGGTTTTACATGCCTTTTTTTCACAGTTTGGCATTTTTTTACATTCTATGTTTTTGCTGTGATTTATTTTTACCACGAGATTTTAACTATTAATTGATTATAATTCTCTCGATAATTCCTAATTGTAAAATTATAATATGTTTCAGTTGCGGAGGGAGACGCAGTGGCTTCACATCAAAGCTATCATATTCAGTATGTGGAACAAGAGATATACGCCTCTCAGACAAATGGTGGACAGACGCAAATGTAAGTAAACCGTTAAATATATTAGCAATACAACATTTTTTGTTACAACAGAATTTTTTTACAATGTAACTTCTCGTATACATAAATGTACTTTTATTAAAAAATGTCTATACCTATGTGGCGGATTCATCTCTCCAAAAAAATCCTTTATGGGTATTTCGCCACTGCACTGCAAGGAAATCTACCAAAATAAAATAGTTATTTTTTGTATACACGTCTGCTTTAAGCTTGATTTTCATGCATCCGTTGTCCGACGATACGTTGATACTGTTAATAAAATTTTATTGGTAGAATTTAAAGACTTTGATTGGTTAGAAAATAACGCAGGTTTAAATTTATTGCATTTTCATGCCTCCGTTTGTCGGATATACGTTGGTGTCATTTTATATTTTCGTTTCCATAACGATTTTGCTATTTTACTTATATTTTTATTAAGGTTAGATCAGGGGCGGGAAAGTGAAATAGCAAAAGCGGTTCCACCGTTTCCACGGAAATCTCAAATAAAATAGTTCCAGCCCTAGCCACTAGGTGGTAGTGCAATTAATTTTTAGGTTAAGAAGTTGCTACTAGTTATTGCCAGATGGCGTTAAATCAGAATTTTTGTAGTTCCAGTTTCGGCCATTGTCATATTATTGTCAAATTCTCAAAAAATATTGTCGTTGGGTCATAGCGCCAATCATAATATTATCAAATAAATGATTATCAAAACGTTTTTCAAACTATAATTTGTTATATGTGTTGTGTATGTGTTTTAATTAGACAATTCCTTTGTTTGTGATCCTAAAAAATATAATGTAAGTCTTTTATTTCTTTTGCCATCATTTAAGTACCTATTTATATTTATACTCAATTTACAAAACTTTGGGCGGTATTACGTTGGTCTTGTTTTTATTATAATAAATGATTTTTAAATATTTGACTTATAAATAAAAAACTTTAAATAAATAATAGTTCACATGTTTGGCTTTAATTTTATTTAATAATTGTATAATTATACTGTTAAATCTTTTATTTTTACACACATAACAACGATATTTGTTATTAGTATTGTTGAATTTGTGTAAAAAATAAGATTTAATAATCAAATTTAATTATTTTAGAGTAAAATTCAATAAATACGCTCATTTAAAAAGCCCTCGCTTCGATCCATTTAAAACAAGCCCTACTCAATAGATGGCGCCACTTCTGTAGGACCATTTTTCAGTATGGCAGAGTCCATTCTTTTTCTAGTTAGGTATATTCTTTGGGTTAGATTAAATTTGTCAAACACGTCCGTTATCGTATGAACGGGTCCGTTGACGGGCCGAAGTAAAATATTTAGGGATGAAAAGTGGCGTGAAAAGGCTATGACAAATCAGTGCACCGTCGTCACGACCAACGTATCAACGTATAACGGATGCATGAAAATCAAGTTTTAAACGTAAAAGGACACTGCTTGTCAGAAGTTATGTTTACAGTTATACAAATTTGCCTAACAAAGAAAAAAATGCTTAACGTTTCGGAAAGTTTATCTCTTTCCGTCGTCGAAAGCAAAAAAAAATATAAAGAATAAAGAAAAAAAGTATTTAAAATATTTAAATTCAGCTATTCGAGAACACTTTACTTTTTTAAAACACATACGTCTAAAAGAAACCATTGACCTATGCCACTGACGTTCTGTTAAAATGACATTATCAAAGAATATACCTAGCTAGAAAAAGAATGGACTCTGCCATACTGAAAAATGGTCCTACAGAAGTGGCGCCATCTATTGAGTAGGGCTTGTTTTAAACGGATCGAAGCGCGGGTTTTTTAAATGAGCGTATTTATTGAATTTTGCTCTAAAATAATTAAATTTGATTATTAAATATTATTTTTTACACAAATTCAACAATACTAATAACAAGTATCGTTGTGATGTGTAAAAAATAAGATTTAACAGTATAATTTATACAATTATTAAATAAAATTAAAGCCAAACATGTGTAAATATTATTTATTATTAAAAGTTATAAGTCAAATATTTAAACATCGTTTATTATAATAAAACAAACCGACGTAATACGCCCAAAGTTTTTGTAAATGGGTAAATATAAATAGGGTGGACTTTAAAATGATGGCAAAAATAAAAGACTTACATTATATTTTTAGGTCCACAAACAAAAGGAATTGTCTAATAAAAACACATATAACAAATTATAGTTTGAAAAACGTTTTGATAATCATTTTTGATGATTGGCGCTATGACAACGACAATATTTTTTGAGAATTTGACAATAGTATGACAATGGCCGTTGGTAACTATGGAAACTACAAAAAAAATCTGATTGAACGCCATCTGGCAATAACTAGTAGCAATTTCTTAACCTAAAAATTAATTGCACTACCACCTAGCGCCCGAGGCTGGAATTATTTTATTTGAAATTGCCGTGGAAACGGTGGAACCGCTTTTGCTATTTCACTTTCCGGCCCCTGGACATTATATCAAGGTAGTAGTAGTAGTAGTTTTGTTTTACGGCCACAGCTCCAGGACTATCCAGCCGGGTGATAGGGGGGTGATCTATCCTTAGTTGAGTGTTTTATATCAAGGTAAACTTCAAAATTAAGAATTACTCTTTGAATAAGAAGACTAAGGAAGGAGCATATCAAAAATCTTAGGTCCACCGCGATGGGCCTCAAATATGGCCGACTTAAATTCCGGTTTATCAGCGCCGTTCTAATTTTATTTAAAAAATGTAAAACTATGATGTAGGGTAGACGTGGGGTAGACTCAATAATTTTTTTTTTATTTTACGTTGTGAATAAATGTTGGTAGTTATTAAAATTGTTAAAAAATATAAAGTTCTAATAAAAATAGTTAAGTTATAATAATTATTTATAACCATAAACATCTGATACGCTACTGAAGCAGGTAAGTCAAATTGACGTATCTAAATTCTTTGACATCTAATCTTTGACAAGTAGTAAATAAAAGCAATAATGCAAGAAAAAATATATAATTAGTTAATTTAAGTGAATTTCATAAATGATCGGTTTACTACACGTATGTATATTATATAGTCACTTTCTAGCGAAAAGTTGTTCCATTATTTCACACATTTTTGCCGAGATCTACCGTACGCTACACAACCAACTATTTTAAAGTCTGTTTCGATTAATCGCGATGGTGTCACTGTTAATTTAAGTTCTGCCACAATTTCCATCTAGATTTACTATCTTTATGCAACTATCAGTAGTCGAATAAATAATAAATAACATAAAATAAGCTCCGTAAAGACTGACAAATCCATAAAATTTCAAATCACTTTCAAATGTGTCAAATGAATCGTCAAACAGAACTGTCAAGGATCCCCACCCTAGAGTCCTTTTTCCGCCCACCACGCATGAATACATGGATAGCATTATGCTCCTTCCTTAGTCTTCTTATTCAAAGGAATTACTACCTGATAACAATTACTTAATAAGGTAAAACCAAAAAGCCCAAACTTTCTGTATGATTATTTTTAAATTTTACGTGAATGTTATGTTTATTTATGTTATGTTCTTTAAAATCAAAGAAGCGATTGCCATACATCACTGACATATAGAGCAATAAAATACATTTATTTTTTTAGATTGAATTAAAAAAGCCTCTTTAATTTTTCTTTTAGAGGCTGTCGCTTCTTTAATTATAATTTTGGCTATGTACTTTAATGTTAATTATTTTGGGTACGCCACTGGATTTAATAACTTTAACTTAGTTATCCCAAGTTCTCCCTTTACTGCTAAAAATACTACTGCCAAATTTTAAGCAAATTACCTGAAACATATTTAAGATATTTGTGGAAATCAGATTTCTTCAAAAATGAACACTCTGTATCTTAAGATCAGATATATTCAGATCTATATTTATAAAAAAAAATCATCTTAAAACTATCCCTTGTAATTTTGCTACATACTTAATTAACACCCCGTATTAATATCCAGGTAGGTTAATTGGCGGTATTTGGTACTATTGTATAGTATGCTATGGAAACGACAGGTGACAACGGGTAAAAATATTTGAATAATTGTCATTTTCATAAAATTTAAAGAAGGTCGATACGGAATAATATTCAAATTCATATTTGTTATGGCTCGTAGGGAGGAAAATGAACTATTTTGGTAATATCGAATTGTTTTAGCTATATTGTAGAATATATTTTTGTGACTTGTGCATGCAAAGACGTTACTTAGATTTCGTTGCTTGAGAAACTCGAAAATCTCTTAGTAACAAAATTTTATTTCCAAGACATATTTTAGTGAACATGAAACTTGAGTAAGTTATTTATTTAATTTACAGTTTATTTGTTTAAAAAATGTAAGTCTTTGGTTATTACAAATCAAATTATACAACTTTTTGTAGTTCTGTAGTTATATTTGAAGAAAAATATTTTTTATAATCTTCAAGCCGATTCGCCATCGAAAGTAATTCAGATATTTCTTGTTTCCGGTAATAAATTTCAGCCATTATTTACTTTTATAAATATTGATTTTATAAAATCTATATTAAATGAACAGTATAAAGAATTTATTTCACGCCAGAATTATGTTTCGTACTATTTTTGTATATTTAATTTTCAATATCAGGCAAGTTGCAGTGATATTATATGATTAATAACTTTGAAAAAGAAACAAAAGAGTAGCAAACAAGGTATCTAAATGTAAATTAGAAATGTTTAGATTTGTCGCGAAACGTCGCAAAAAAACATAATTGTTTCCTTTCAAGCCTTCCCAAATACCCACGATTTTTTCTGCATATTTGTCATGTCATTTTTCATAAACTCTTTACACTAACGTTTGTTATTTTGTTTGTGTTGCATATCAAATGACGTTTTTAAATGAAATAATTATTTGAATATTATTTTTGTCATATACGGAGTGTTGAAACAGCTACTCCACTGGTAATATTTTTCTACATTTTTTTTAATCATTTGTCAAATTTTTAACTAGACTAGGCAATGGCGAATCAAACTGTACGAGACAAAGTGCGTGCATGTTAATTTTACAAACAAAAAGGATCAACATATTCATATTACCCATGTCCCATATGTTAATACGGCGAAATATTTTGGAATGAATTGGATGCAAAGCTGCCTTGGAAAAGCCACATCAAAGAGAAAAACGAAGAACTAAAAATTAAATTTAAAAAAGTGTACTGGCTTCTTGGGCCAAATTCAACGTTATCAATACATAATAAGATTACTACTTTACCAACAGGTTCTCAAACTTGTATGGACATATGGCATACAATTGTGGGGTTGTGCTAGTAAAAGTAATCAAGAAATTATTCAGCGATTCCAAAACAAAGTACTAAGGAGCATTTTCAACGCCCCCTGGTATTTCCGAAACAGTGATCTCCACAGGGACTTGGAAGTGGACACAGTTACTAGCGATGGGAACTATCGAATGAATTAGACTATCGAATGGTTACTGAATGAATGATTTCAACTATCGAATGGTTTTATTCGAATAAAATCATTCATTCATTTGTATACTAAAGCATATGTGACAACCTCACCGTGCAACTAAATGGTTATCGTTGAGCTACGACTATCGAATGCTTTTGATAAATGAAATTTAGTATTCGTTTGATTTTTGTGTGCGTGAGTGCATTATTAGTTCTTCCAAATTTTTATAACTTCACCTTATAAATACTGTGCTATTTTTGCGTATATTTAAAATATATAAATATATTTAAAATACTAAAATAGTAGTTTTTTTTAATTGACGATTGGGTGCGTGTGCAGGTGTCAAAATTTTTCCGAAAATTTGTGTGATTTTCCGTAGCCCGATCTTTCAATTGTTTTATTTTATATGGTATATACGGTCTATTTTTTAATGTGAAATTTTGAGAAGTAGCAATTTTTAAGAGAGATGAGATGAACTTAAAATTAATTTTAAAAATACATATTTGTATTTTAGATGTTTTAATAATATGAATTAGTTGAACTTAATAATCATATTTAAGTAATGTGGTTAAGTAAATGGGGTTATCGAACTCAAACTATGGGGTGAGAAAATTAAATTGAAAGTTTTACACGTGCCAATTTAAAAAAAAAGTTAACGATGTTTGTATTTTGTTTATGCTAATTCTCTTACATGTAGTTTTTTGCGAAGAAATATTTTATTTATTTTTTAAAGTAAATGCCAGTAAAAGTAAATATTATTTTTAAATAGTAATATAAAGTACCTAATATAAATAATTTTGATTTCTAATTTTTTATTTATATTTTTCTTCCATTACACTGCATGCTTAGAAAATTAATAAATGTTTATATTTCATGATGTTAAAGTTTGTTGTTAATATAACAAATTAGTTTTGTGATTATTATTATTTAATAAACCAACGTTGCCAAAAAATTTAAAGACTATATTATTTTTAAATAGGATCTAATATAAATAATTTTGACATCTAATTTGTTGTTTATATTTTGCTACTACGTAAAAAAAATGTTTATATTAAATTATTTTAAATTTTGTTGTTAATAGGTATAACAAATTATTACTGTTATTATTATTTTTATTAAACCAGTCTTTGCTTAAAAACATTAAAAATAATTTTCCTACACCCAAAATAACAAGTATTATTGCAGTGTAACAACAGAATATTAATAAAAAAATGCAAAATATATAGAAATACTATCCCTAACTAACTAAAGCCAAACAATATTCTTTGCTAATATCAACTAATACCAACATATGGCAACAGCGCCCTTCATAATGTATTTTTTGTGTAAATACTAGCACCTCAATAAAAAAAATAATGTGTCCTTATCTTTATATGACTCCGCAAAAAATCAAATCAAAGATGCCGGCTTCTTTCATAGCATTGCCACCGACCGCTGTCGGGTTTCTCGGAAAGAAACCTACGTCGCCGGGCGACAACTAAAATCCAGTTAATTTTATTATAATCGATCCTGACGAATAAATGAATTTCATAAATGAATGAATTTTCTAAATGAATGGTTTTTGCTGCCGAATTACTAGAATACAATATTTCAAGGCAGATGACGCATCTATTCGATAATTTTTATTCGAATAGTTTTCAACGAATGTTTTTTACTAGCTATCGAATTATTCGAATGAATTGCAACTATCAAATGTTTCGATAGTATTCATTCGATAGTTCCCACTACTAACAGTTACCCAAACTATTACCTCATTCGCCAAGAGACAGGAAGAACGACTTCACCACCATATCAACTAACCTTGGAACTAGTTAATATGTGTTAGGGGAAAGGCAAATAGTGCTTGTGTACGCGATAATATTAGTGTAATTAAGTTAATAGTAAAAAATAAGGAACCCTAGTGAGTAAGTCCTTAGTACAAGTTATTTAAGTATTAGTAATTTAGGTTGAAAAAAATTGCTTATTGATCTATATTAGATCAGATTGTAATTATACCTTATATATATAGATTGTATATATATTAGATCGAGAAAAAACGGCGTAAGTGATGGCTATGGAATGAAGATCGCTGTCATTTTAAATGTAAATTTATATGGGAAATGTCATTGATGTTCATTTCTCAGCCAACTGGACGCCGTTTTTTTTCGATCATACGGTAGTAAATTTCCTTCAGGGTAATTTCCTAATAAAAAAAATTTCTAATTTTGAAATATATTTTTTAATTTTATAAAAAAAATCGGAATAGGCGACGATTATTTTTTTTTACTGCAAATGACCTAGTAATATGAGACCTAAGTAATATCTCACCGACACCTTAGACAACTCTTAAGAATCCGATGGTTCCATCATGTCTCGAACGTATCGGTCCTTGAAAAAGCTAACTGCGAGAGTATTGGAGTCATGGTTACAAAATCCGGCTTAAGATGGGCTGGTCACGTATGCAGAATGCAAGAAAACCGCATACCAAAATCTCCGCTTTACGGTGAGCTTGTAGACGGTAAGAGGAGGCCGGGTGGACAACTGAAAAGGTACAAGGACATTTTCCACGAAAACTTAAAGGGAATTAACATGCAGAATGAGTGGGAAAAAGCAGCTCACAATAGAACTCAATGGAGAAGAGTTGTAAACTCAGTTAACAGCGACAACCAAAAAATAAAGAGGCAACAAAGCAATGAGATTTTTGAATGTCCGGAGTGCGGTAGGCAGATAACATCACGTATCGGGCTTTTCAGCCACAGAAAAGCTCATGAAAGAAAACGCCTTGCGTGACCATCTTCTTTATGTGTGTCGAATACTCGTCAGCGAGTAACGGCTGTATGTATGTATCTCACCGACACTTTACGACATCGTCTGTTGATATAGAAGGAGTTTTGCTTGCCGTATCGGTGAGAACCAGCCCCTGGACAGCCCACCTGATGAAGGGTAGGCCCAGAAACCGGTTGTGTGAGTGGAGCTTGGTTCCCCCCTTTACGACAAGCAAAACATATTATCATTATTTTTATGTTTTTTTGTCTACTTTCGATTTTTCGAAATTAGAAAAAATACACAGCTAAAGACCAGAAAATATTATTTATTAGTAATATGAGACATGATATGACACTGTTTAAGTGCTAAACATGTCTGCATACAATAAGATTGGCATATACAGAGTGTCCCATTTCAGTTACAAATGTGCGTTAAGTCACTTGTTAGTAAAAACAGAACCTAGCGGTTATCACGAATTTGGGGAAAACCAAAAATGCCGCCAACGAAATTGTCATGGCTTTCTTCCATGATGAGGGTGTATTTGAAAATGTTGAAATTGAAAATGTTCAATTCATGATTTTACCAATGCTTATTCAAGATCATGTTTTTTACACAAGTTTTATTTTTTATCTCAAAAACTATTCGATATAGGTTAGTATAATAGAAAAATTATGAAAATCTAAAGTAGTTTCCAAAAATGTAATAATATATCGGGTGTTCCAGTTAAAGTAAGAAAGATGCTACCATTTTTCAAATAATGCGGCAAAATTGTAAAGCTAAAAATATTTTAAATAGATGGAACAGGTGCCTTTTTGTAAAAAAACAAATTTTCAAAAAAAAATCTATCACCGGTTCTCTAAAAACGTATAACGTACCATCCCGGGAATCACCCTATATAAAACTATATCTTAGTATTTAATAGAATGTTTTTTCATACTTAGGGCCTATCCAGTATACACTGTGGGAGACTCCACCACCTTATATCCCATAACGAACGCCGGACAACCTCAAGGGCAGTACTACGCTACAGCAACGCCAACCAATGCCGCTCCCAACTCAACCACCGCTGTGACCGGTACGACCGTGGGCTATACCGCCGCCACTGGACAGTACGTCGTGCAACATACGGTTGATCCTGAAGCTCTGATACCCTCTACTAGAATAGGTGCTCAAACTGGTAGTGCGGTAAGTATGTCAGGATATGTTGTTTTTTAAATGTTGTTAAAATATAATGTATTTTGTGCTCGTCTAAAGTTTAGATATTTGAAGAGCAAAATATGCAAATGGTCTAATATGTGATTTTTTCAAATTTTATTGAATTTGTTATGATTTAAGGTTAAATATTTTTTAATGAAGAATTAGAAAACATTAATAAACTTACAAATTATTTGAGATATTGACTTATTTGAAATATTTTTTTTGTTTAGTTTAACGCTCAGTTAAAAAGAAAGATAAAGGTACTTTTTACATATTTTGTTCTTCAATTGTTTGTGTAAACTTTGTATGTAATGCTTATATAAAAGTTGACATAATCATAAAATCTTTCATTGTACAAAAAAAAATTGTATAAAACTATTAAACCTCATGTGGAGATTCAGCATCTAGTATATAATATCTTATTTTATTCTGAGTTAAAAATATCTTATAAATTGTCTTTGGGGAAGAACAGTTTATAGTAGAATATTTTAGACAGGTTTTGTTTTTTCAAACTACTTAAATTTTTGTTTTAAATTTTTGAGGTTTGGACTCGAAAGACAGATATTACTGTTAATTGTTTTTTTTTCAAATATTTTTATTCTTACATTTTTTAGTTGTTTAATTTTATTTTTAATATCGTATTTATCTAATATTAAATTTGCATGTGCCATTAAATATATACCGTATGATCGAAAAAAAAACGGCGTCAGCGATGGCTATGAAATGAAGATCTGTGTCATTTTATATGTAAATTCATATGAGAAATGTCGATTTCCGTTCGTCATTTCCCAGCCAACTGGACGCCTTTTTGCCTATCATATGGTACATAGTAATTGCAAAATTCTTGGATACCTACGTATACATTGGCATGTTAAAATTAACCGCTTTCCTTGCTCTGATTACTAACTTGGGTGTACAGGAATATGTCGCTACTACCGCGGGACAGTCCACGGGTCAGGTGGTAGCCGTAAGTTCCAACGGTGAAGAAGTAGGATCTCCATTGGGGCATGCTACTAGAGTATCTCCTGCTACTGTAAGTGTTTGTTTAGAGGTGTGTATCCATATGATAAGACTGCAACACTATTTTTTTTCACGTACACATAAAACCGGTTTGTTACATTTTCTAGCGATTGACAGATTACGTTAATTCTGCACGCACCATTATCTAGTAGATAGACTCTATGTGGGAGTATTTATTTATAATACTAAGAGCTGGCAAAGGTTAGTCTTGGGTCGAGATTTCCGTATGTAAGAAGAGGACAATGCGTTTATAATGTACTGAACAAAGAGAGAACAGTAAACACGTTGCCAAACGTATGAAATAAACCAAGAAACTGTGTAGATAAGATACGTGGAAGGGGATATAGCAGATTTTCTCGCAGTCGATCGATTGAACCAATCAGGACCTCTGTCAGTACTTAAAGTTCCAGGAAAAGGTGTACATCATGCGTTCAGGTTCACGATTTAATTACGTCTCGCGATACTTTATTGTTTATTTATTAACGAGTCGTTGTATTTTTCCCTACAGCTTGAAAATTTTTAAGTGCAAGTTAGAAACACTTACATTTTTGGTAAAAATAAGTGGAATTGAGTTGGTGTTCGACAGTGGTCGCGCTATTAGAACTCTGAATTTAAAAATCGATATCTCAAAATCTATTAAAAATAATTGATTGTAGTTTATTTCAAAAACTTTCTTAACATTTCTGCTATATTTTCTTCCCAGACAGTATGTGAAAATCTTTACAAATAAAAAAGTTACACGATTGCTAAAAATTGCTACATACTAAAAGTAAATGGATGGGTTGTTTAAAATTCTCAAGTCAAAAAAATCAACCTTATCGAATTTTTCTTATTTAAACATATTGTAAAAGATCCGATCTTCAAAATAAAAATTTCTTCAATGTCTAAAGTGGTTCTTAAGTTATGGCGTGTTATGTGTTAAAAAGTAGAGTTTTTAAATTATCGCGATTACTGACGTTTTATCGTTATAAAAAAATGGACACTCTTCGAAAAAAAAGTCGTTTAAAAATAAGCGGTTTGCGATCGTGATTTTATTTTACTTGATAGGGAGAGACGTACCGGGAACGCCGCATCAGCACACCGCCGCATTTCTCTCACTCCGGCTTAATAAGATCCCTATGCGATTTACTTCCACATATAATATATTCCCTTTCATAATGTATCTCCATCTAGTTATGAATAAAGCTTATTATTATTATTATTATTATTATTATATGTGAATGCCGACCCAAAAGTAACAGTTGCCAGCACGGTATGTTTCCTACTTTTTTGATTCCCGAAATTAACTTTTTAGTTTTGTCTTAAATTCAATAAAAAGAATTATTTATTTCCTGACATTGTCATTGTCTAAAGTGTCAACGTTTTGACACTTTAGTTTTGTATAACGAGTTTTTGGTTTAAATTTAAAAAGTTTACTAGACCTTGCAGTCGAACATTGTTCTTTTTAGAACCTCTTATAGTGCGAAGTGGTACAAGATAGCTTAATAGCTGTAAAAAACTCATCGCAACTTTATTAGAATATTTTGAACGAAAAAGCGGTAGTTTATGTCCCTTAAATGTTGTTAAGGAAGTGACTTTTGTTAATGTAAATAATAACTGTTTCTATATTTGGGCAATTCCATGATTACTCACGGGATATTTAGAATAACAACAAAATTTTAAGAAAGTGTATTGTGTCCCTCATATGGGCTAGGTAAAGCTTTAGGTTATTATTTTCACAGACAATGATTTGAATTACTGTTGTGATACAGAACAAAATATTGAAATTTATAGTGATTAAAACATTAATAAAAATCTTTGATTACTCACGGGACATAAAACAATTTGGATTTTTAAAATTTTGTTTTTAAAAGCTTTTTTCTCTGAACCTATACAAAATAAAATACATTAAGTGGAATTAGGAACTTACATGTGCTGAACTTAAAATTAATTTGCTATAGGTGTATTACAAGATACAGATATATTTGGGATATAAATAATTTGTTGATTACTCACGGGACTTGTTTTGGGAAATTTTAAGTTTTGGCCTAATACCTCAATTAAAAACAAAATGTTAGCATGATACCTGCACACACATACGTCATGGGGCATTATATGTACTTGATATAGGCGTAGTCAAAACATTTATTAAAAATATAAATGTCTCTTCAGCTATCTTAAGAAAAATATGTGGCCACGGCACTGTTTGGACCCATGGTAACAATTTGGTCTCGGGTCTTATTTGTCCTTGTATTCTTTAGTCATTGATTTCATATGAACTTTAGGTATCTATTGTACTTATCCATACAAAATTAAATATTCTTCCGATATTTTAAACTTTTGTATACCAAACGATCGAAAAAACGGTGCCAGAATTGGCTTGGAAATAAAGATCGCTGTCATTTTATATGGGGAATATGACCTATCAATTATTGCCAAGTCAACTCGGGGCCATTTTTATTTTGATCATACGGCATGGTCGATAAAAACGACGTCAAAGACGGCTGGGGAATAGCAATCGATGATAATTTTGGCGCAGTCAATTTCTATACGTTATTTACTAAAAATTGACATAAAACTTGGCAAAAATTAACATTACTTAACTATAAAACGATTAAAGAGGATGGAACGTTTCCAGACACAAATAAATTTCCAAAAATATATTTTTTCCCGAATTTTAAACTACACCAATTAAAAATCATTTTTACTCAATATAAAAGTAAATTACATCCTTAAGGCCAACTGGCAGTAAGCGCCATTAGAAAAAAGAAAAGTACGGGCCAAGTAAATGACGGCTAGGGCTTGACCTCGGCAAAATTTTCATCGATTGTCATTACCCAGCCGTCTTTGACGCCGTTTTTTTTTCTATCGTATGGTATAAGATAACTCGCACAATGGATACACACCTTAAAATTAATATTGTTATTAACCGCATATGTTTGTTTAAATTAATATATCTTCTTATATTTGTGGTGGAGGGTAAGCTGAATTGTTTAGTTAACTTGGTTTCTTGTAATGGTTTTTGTTTATTTCAACAAAGTGCTACCTTAGTTTTTTTTCTTTTTTAGTAGCATCTAAGAATGCACCCCAAGTTTTGAAAAATGTTGATTTTTTAAAATATTGATCTCGTTTACAGAAATTTTACTCTTACAAATATTTTTGTAGAAATATTGGTGTTTTTTGTTTATGCTGAAATGATATAATACACTTGCGTGCATAGAAATCGGCCCAAGGCAAACTTTTGAAGTTAACTATATATTTTTTAGAATATATTTGTCAGATTAAGAAAAAATATATACTGTTTGAAAGACAATTTTATATCCTTTGAAAAGAGTTTAGAGATATTAATTTGCATTTCGGTTTCTTTGAATTAAAATTATTAAATTAATGCATGAAACAAATTATCGTTTTTTATTACTAAGATGTATGCCATTATTTATTTATTTATTGATTGACAATTAACTAAAATAAATGTTCAATAATGGGTATGACCCCTTCTTGCTCTTACAACATCTCTCATACAGTTTGGCATAGATTCAATCAAGTTTGATATTGTTGCTTGCGGTATGTTAAGCCACTATTCTTATACTGCAACAATGAGCTCTGGGATAGAGGTTAGGGCTCTTTGTCTAGTACGAATCCTTCGTTTTAGGTCATCCCATAAATGTTCTATCGTGTTTAAGTCTGGACTGCATGCTGGCCATTCCATAACCCGAAAACCGACTTCTCAAATGTAATCGTGTACGAATCGTGATGTGTGTGCTGTCGCATTGTCATGCATAAAAGTGAATTCGCTTCCAATGTAGTCGACGTAAGGTACCACATGAACTGCTAAAATCTCCTCAATATACCTAGCCCCAGTTAAACCTCCCCTCCCGTGCCGACGGTCGTCCCAACGGATAAAAACTGGGTCGGTTCGCGCAGTCATAGAAATTGTACCCCAGATCATGCAGAAAGCACCTCCATAAGCAATCCGCTCCTCAATGCAGCATTCTGCCAATCGCTCATCTGGCCTCTGGAACACTTTTCTTCTTCGGTCGCTACCATAGAGGCATATCCTTGTCTTATCTGAGAATAAAACACATTCCCATTGTTCTAGTCTAGCCAATTCAGATGTTCCGTGCAAAAGGCAGGCGTGTTTGACGATGAGCTGCGGTAAGTTTTGGACCAATTGCGGGTGTTTTGGGGGTCATGTTACTTTCCTTCAATCTTCGTCTTACTGTCCTCTGACTAACAGTCACTCCTCGTGTTTCACGGAGCTGTTGTTGCACCTGAATAGCATTAAGATGCCGATTTCTTAAAATTGTTGACACAATAAGCGGTCATCACGATCCGTTGTATATCTCTTTCCACCAGTTCCAGGTCGCCGACGAAAGGATCGAGTTTCCTCATATCATTCACACACTCTTCGAACCGCTCCGCGCGTCATATGCAGTTGCCGAGCTACAGCTCTGTTTAAGTCCATTTTCAATTAAAGCGATTACTTTGGCAGCTTTTTTCCGTGATGTATGCATTAAATTGAAACACTAATCAAACAATGAAACACAACAAATCAAACAATGAAAGAACAATGTGCAAATTTCGATTACAAAGCAACAGTAAAGTAGTAATTGCAATATTTGATAAGTTTTTTATTCTTATTGTCACCACAACACAAATGCCTTTCATTTGTTTACCCGTTGCTACGCATATAAACGATAAGTACTTTGGATAAATTTATACTCATATTAAAGCATGTTAAATAATTGTCTTTGAAACAACTCATATTTTTTTCTTGGTCTGATAAATAGATTCTAAAAGACACAGTTAAAGTCAAAAGTTTACAGTGAGCCGATTTCTATGCACGCAAGTTTATATTGTTACCTTTTTAAAAATTTCTTATCATAAGTAAAAATTGCTGACAACAGTTAATTGTTGATCAAAATACATTTATTAATATGAGCCCTTTTTTTTATTAGTTCTTGAAGGATTTTGATTAACAATTTTAAGAAATTTCTTAAATTCGATCCATATTAAAAATCGATCATTTTTTCATCCTATCCCCAAGACCTATAAGTTTCTAATTTGTACATTTTTAATAACCATTATTTCAGGTGCAATGGCTGTTGGAGAACTACGAGACTGCAGAAGGGGTTTCTTTGCCGAGGTCAACTTTATACGCGCATTATTTAAGACACTGCTCCGAAAATAAGCTGGAACCTGTAAACGCTGCTTCTTTCGGCAAGTTGATAAGATCGGTATTTCTAGGATTGAGAACGCGCCGACTGGGAACCAGGTAAATTAAAGAAGAACACTATAGTCTGTCCAACGGGAGGATTCCTGACAATGACAGTTGTTTAGTTGTGTGTTGTGTTTGTCATTTTTATTCGCAAGCAAATTGAATTTTCTGTCATTTTATGGATGTCGCATGTCGTCTAGTGAGTAGTGTGTCCAACGACAAGATCCTTGACAGTGATAGATGTGTCTGTCATTTTAATTTCAAAGTAGTTTATTTTATTTTACAAAGAAATAAGTCGGTACAACTGGAACGCATATCAGGAAATTAGTATATTTAAAATTTGACTGATAAGTGAATTCACTTCACAATATTGTGAAAAAAAACTGTATAAAACTGAAAAAAATTAATTGAGTTATTTTATTTAAAAAAAGCGGTATGTGTTAACCAGAACGAAACACCACATACAAAAAAAATATAAAGAACTATTTCTTACTTTCAAGCTTCAAAAAACTTCCTGCATTTATTATTTATTATATTTATCAATATATCTTATGTACAAATACAAATTTGTAATATTCCACAGGAATAAATAAAACAACAAATAACTATAACAAACTATTTTATTAATAATAACTCTTACCAAATTTTATACCTTAAAGGTTGATTAATTAACTTTAATCTTAATTTTTTAAACCAGTACCTTCTGACGTTATTTTTCTGCAGTGCTAAAATCCATTATTTACCTATCGTGTGATGTCGATATTTTACAGCTATTCCAGAAGTATATGTTTAGTACGATCCTTGTAGCATATACGAGATGCATTTATCTGATACAAACTTTATTGATGGTAACTTTATTGGTGTATAAGACTTTCTGCCTGGGCAGCGAGTACTAACTATAAACTGTGCTCTGGGTCTGCAGTTAATTTTCCCTCGATTTTTCCTTGACTTCAAAAGACACAAAACACACGTAATAACACGAATCAAAATGAAAAATCTTCCAAAACGCAGATATTTGACATAAGTTGACACAAAATTATAACCTAGAATTTGGCAAAACTTTGACAAGCCTCAAAAATCTGAAGGCGAGTTCATACGCATCGGCGTCCGTTTGTCGTTCATCGTTCCGTCAAACCAATAAAATTTGAAATATGATCTGTCATTTTTGAAATAAACCAATAAAACTGGTTAAAAACAACAAGAGACAACGTATGACGGATTTATATTTAAACCCATCCATAGTTAACGTAAAAAATATTAGAAACTTTTTTTAGTAAAATAAATAGATTGGTATGGGACGTCATCTGCTTTACTTCTGTCATTGTCTGTCGAAACCTTATCTGAGAAAAAAAAAACAGAGTATATATAGTTATTTCTCTCCTACATTCTTGGTGGTTGATTGGACACATGTCTTTGTGACTTTTAGAACCTGCCTCCACTGATTGGTTTCCACATGTAGCTACTGAATATTTCTATATTAACGACTTACAATTTCTTATCTAGAGGGAACTCAAAGTATCACTATTATGGTATCAGAGTGAAACCAGGATCGTCTCTTGTGAACGTCGAAGACTCTTCCAGTCGGGTGGTGCTGACTTCGAACTCCTCCGGGAAGGCGCAAGGCACGGTACGACCATTCAAACGTAATTCGGAGTCATCGGAGCACCAAACATCGAACGGGGCTCTTTTACAGCACGCAGCGTACCTAGGTGACGGTAGCAACGCCATACCCGTTTTTCCTGACATGCATTTCACCGAACAGTTACCTGGAGATTGCGGATATGAAGATGTGGATACTCTGAAGTAAGTTTAACGTAATTTCTTATGATAAGCGCTATTTTCTAACACTAGTTATGAAAGTAGAACTGTTCTATTAGTTGCGTAGAGTTTTTTCAAGTTTAACAGTTTAGAAACCAAGGCGCAACAATTTTCAGTCTTCTATATGTTAAAGATTGTTTGTTTAAAGACTTGAGTTGAAATACTCAACAGTCAAAATTAACAGATAAAATAAAAAAATGTATAAAGGTGCCTTATGGGGACTCTCAAGTAATTTGTGCAAACTGGTATGAGCAAGCCATGATAAATAAATGTTGTGCAAATCTTCAAATTGATGTGTATTCGTCTATACATTTAGTTAGTGCTAGTCTTCTGAATGATTTATCTAAAGCGGCCCATACATTATCAAACAAATTGCGCAACAAAGCGATGCGCAACGTTGCGTTGTACAACTGATTCAGTGGTCTATACATTATCAAACAAGTTGCGCAATCTGCATCACCCATGCACTTATTAAAATTTTGATCAAACTTTTTATTAAAAGTTGTGCATTGTTTGAGAAACAATCATGTCCTCAATTGCAATTGCGTCAATTATTTTCGTATATACCCTAGATGATGTCAATGATACCAAAAAACGAAAAAGAAAACAAAGAATTTGGATGAAAGAACTAAAATATTGCACAACTAAGCGCAACACACACATACACTACACAACGCGCTGCGCAAACACCTGTTGCACAAAAGAATTCAAACATTCTTGAAACTTATCAAACAATTGCGCAACGCATCAAACGTTACCATACATTGGCAACTCGTTGCGCAACAGCCTGTGTTGCGTAATTTGTTTAATAATGTATGGGCCGCTTAAGATATAATATAAACGCATATACAGGTGGTTCGAATTGTATTCGGAAAACTTTGCTAGCATATTCAACCTATAAAAATAAGTAAAAAACTTCGTATAAATGTATGTCCTAAAATACTTTGTTTCGGAGACACAGGGTGTTTTTGACATGAAAAATTTGGGATTTCAACGTCAATATGACTCCTACTTGTAGGGGGGCCACCTACATATCTTCTAACTAGTTTGAAGAGTAATAACCTTAAGTCAGTACCTGTATAAAACTACTGAGTGGAAAAATATACATTTCCATCGTTTTTTAGGGCTCGAACACACTGACGACCAGGTCGCACCGGCCAGGCCGCTACTACCTCTAAAACCATTAAATCAAATGATACTGCGCACACTAACGTCCTGGCCGTCCGTTGGTCGTTGCGACCAGTAGACTGCACTAAAATAATATAATTTTCTGCCGCTTGTTGCCGGTTTTCTTTCAAATTAATAATTTTGCAGATGGAGTCCCTCAAAATCAACGCACAATATTTTATTTTCTATAAGATATAGTGTTTTAGTGTAGTTTTTGCACACGTGCAGAAAATCCAAAGAAATATTATACAGACTGGATCAAAAGGAAACTTAAATCTAGTCCCTTTTTTAAGGGTCGATTCTAGTAGAAATTCAAAACATTTTTATATGACATACTCTATTTATGGTTGGTATGATACCTGTACTACTAGTATACTAGTATGGCAAGCTGTACCTTGCTACTCCCAAGGCGTTAAACGCTATATACGGAAGCTATTATTATACCTTCGAGTTTTGATGTTAAAAAAATTAAAAAATCATATGTAAAGTTTTTCTACAACCACTTGTTTTTTTATTAAATTATTATTTTTAGTTGTATTCTAGTCATGTACAAGGAGGACAACTGCATTTTAAATATTATATTTAATTTAACGTTTTTCGAACAGGGTTCATTAGACTATATTTCTACTAGGTACATTATTTTTTTTAAAAAAAATAAGAGTAAAAGTAACTTAAACATTCATAAAAATAGAAATATTTACTGTTGTAGGAATTTATATTGTAAACATTGAAATAACTGGAAGCTAAACTTTCTAAATGCTTATATTTAGAGCCAGTGTCTGACGACTTTTTATGTTACGATGCCCTAATATGTTTACTTCTAAAGTCGATAAGAGCCATCAGTAGAAAAAAGAAACAGAATATCTCCCTTTTTGTCGGTCGCGCGTACACAATGCTTTTTGTTTCCACCTATTTGTTCTGCTTGTTCGTACGCGCTCGGTTCGTTCGGGCTAAAATGCCAAAGTCTGGACGCGCCTTTAGGAACAATACTGTTTTTGTCCTTTATTGATATAATGCTGATAATCTTACGAGTCCCACTCTACACATATTAACTGATAACTTAACTGAATAGTTATCGCGGATTTAAAAAACATGGAAATAACGACGTTATCGTGTAGTCGGGGTTGGAGATTTTACTTACTCCATTTAACACACAAGTATTTATTAACGAAAAATCCAAGAATATTTTAAATGCATTATTTAATATTAGAACATTTAATAAGCTCATGCTTTTTAGTTAAATCGCAACTTCGCTTTTTAGTTAAATCGGATATTTTAACATTTCTGAAACTTAATTCTTCCTGAAACAATATTTTCTAATTGGTAAAACGTAAAAAATCGTTAGATATGACAACTCTGTTGAAACTGGTCGTTCATCTGGCCGCAGCTATAAACGCAATACATCCGGCCAGCCGACGGCCAGATCGTTGCGACCTGGTCGTCAGTGAGTTAGAGCCCTTACGTAAAAAAAGCCTCTTGGTAAAAATCGCTACGACTAATCGTGCTCAAGATATTTGGAATGTAAATTATCAATACATGTAAAATAAATATCTGTGCCTTAGAAGCAAACCATATTAATATGTTCAAAATTCAATCCAAATTGAATTTCAGTTCAAAATTGGCATATTTGGATCATTCCAAAAAATGTTGGTATAATTTATTTAAAAACTGTTTTACATTTCATTTGAGTTCAAAAATTAGTTAGTCATATACCAAATATTACATTCATAGATTTAAAAATAAGTAAGGTAATTAGGAAACAACTTAGTTTGCTTCGGGGGTACAGAATATATGTTGATTAGAGATATGACTGAAATGATAAATCTGAGAACTTCTTATTTTTTTTTAATTAATCATATTTTTTTTAAATTTTATATACAGGGTGTCCGGAAATTAATGCAACAAAATTTGGTCATAGATTCTTGAAAAAAAAAATAGGTGACCCGTATTTTTTATTTTTGGCGAGTGGCCCTCCTTTTCGGATTTACAGCCTCCCGAATTTCGCCCCTAAAAAGAGTTTTTTTTAATATCTCAGGGCAAAAAAATATATATATTTAAATATACAGGGTGTCCGGAAATTAATGCAACAAAATTTGGTCATAGATTCTTGAAAAAAAAATAGGTGACCCGTATTTTTTATTTTTGGCGAGTGGCCCTCCTTTTCGGATTTACAGCCTCCCGAATTTCGCCCCTAAAAAGAGTTTTTTTTAATATCTCAGGGGCGAAATTCAGGGGGCTGTAAATCCGAAAAGGGGGGCCACTGGCCAAAAATAAAAAATACGCGTCACCTATTTTTTTTCAAGAATCTATGACCAAATTTTGTTGCATTAATTTCCGGACACCCTGTATATTTAAATATATATATTTTTTTGCAGTCTTGCCCATTTTGTTGATATACTACTCTTTTCTCAGTCTTTTCATTTAATGCCTTGCGCATTTGGTTGTAGAAATCTACTGAAGAAATACACAAAACTTTTCTTAATTGGTTACATAAAATCTGTTGACTAACTTAAGTTATCTTTTCTTAGATCAATTTATAGGGAACATTTGGAAGCCTTTCTTGATGCCATACTTAGCTTAGAGTTCAACACTGTCGAGTCGTTATGGCGGGAATTTTGGCGGTCGCAGTACAATAATAATACGGACGAATGTGAGGAAGAGAAGTACTTATCAAAGTAAATGATCAATTTTTTAAAGTACGCTATTTTCCCTAATAATATTTATTTTCTAGGTCAAAATTATTTTCCCTGTGTTCTTTGGAACCAGTGCAGCAATTCATAAAGCAAGTAGATCTGGTTTTCTATCAGAATTTAATTCAAGTTTTAGTACCCGACGTTTTGAAACCGATTCCTGCCACGTTGACTCAATCCATAAGAAATTTTGCTAAAAGTAAGTTTACAGTTTTTTGTAATACCACCATGCAAAGAAAATAATTTTTAAAATAAAAAATTATATATATAAATCCGGGTTCGTAGCGTCCTACCCTTTCCGGTTGCCAGCCTTTCCTATTTTCTTAATCCCCTGGATGAAGATTCCTCTCCGGCATAGCTTTATGTACTCCTCCAATCCCTGTTGCTTTTGGCCTTTTCTTTTTTCTCCTTTCTCATGATATCCATTCATCCTCACTCATTCTTTCTACATGCCCATACCATACCAGCTGTTTTCTCTCTATTTCATCTATTATCGTTTGCTGGAAATGCATACTTTCCCTTATCTTTTTGTTCGGTATTCTTTCCATTTTTAACATCCCCGCAGATCTTCGCCAGAAGTCCATCTCGAGTATTAATAGCCGTTGTCCATTCTATTAGTGAGCTGCCATGTTTCACATTTATACAAAACTATACTTTTAAAGATGGAATTATAAATAGTATGTTTTTTTTCTCATATGAGATGTGTTTGGACCATAATACTGAGTTTAGGCACTCAATGACTTTTACCTTTCAGTATTCTTTGCTCGATCTCGCTCGCTGTTCGCCCGGTATAATCTATCTGAGTTCAAAGGTAGGTGTATTTACTACCATGTCCCTATCTCTATATTTCTATCCAGATGGAGAGTTTCTGCTGCTTGGCCTATACATAAATATTTAGTCTTCTTTTCATACTCGTTCAAAAGTCTTGTTGTCATAAATTGTAGGTCTTCTTTATCTTCACTACCACTTGATCATCTACAAAGTGAAAGTTGTATAGAGTTGTATAACAACTCTTAAATAAAAAAAATACAAAGAAAAATCTACTTTCTTCTATGTGTAATGGTATTGAAAAGGTGTATGTGAACGTTTCTGTATTTTTGAATTGGATATAAGTCATCTAGATCATTATTCACTATTAATTGCAGAAGAAGCATGGTGTATACATATAATAAGGTTTAGATTATATTATGCATTTTGTATCCATTTATTTACTTTATTATTACCTATTACTTTATTATTAAAAACTGAATAATATAAATAATTTTGTACAGATTTGGAAAGTTGGCTGACCAGCGCGATGGCAGGTGCTCCATCTATGATGCTTCAGATCAAACTATCTGCTGTATCGGCGTTTAGTTCTAGTCTTCGCCGTTATACGTCGCTGAATCATTTGGCGCAGGCAGCGCGGGCGGTACTACACAATGGAAACCAAATCGGACAAATGTTGGCGGATTTAAACAGGGTAGATTTTCACAGTGTTAGGGAGCAAGCTTCTTGGGTAAGGAATACCAAAGTTTTTTATATCTCTCCTTATCGGCAAAAGCAAATAAAATAAAAAGGGAAAACTATTTAAAATTACCATTGATAGACTTTTCTAAAGTAATTAAATAAATAAATAAATAAGTGCCTTTATTGTCAAAAAATTTTACAATTTGTAGACAAAGGTAAAGTAAACAAACAAACAAACAAAAGAGAATAGAAAACAAGTATACAATTGTCAGTCTTATTGTTTAAAATAAACATTTATAAATGTTTACAATGTTAAAGTATAAAAAAATAAAAATAAGATTCAAAAATATTTAGTAAGTTTATAGTAAATATCAATGACCTCTAAATAAATTTATTTCGATGTCATTGGTAAATATAGTAACAGCAAACATTAGACCAGTGTTTACAAGATCAAATTCGATTATCAAAATATAAGTCATTTACGGCGTAGAAAGCCTTGTCTAGTAAATAAGATTTCAATGCTTTGCGAAATGAAGAAAATGATGTTATTGATTTGATTTCAAATGGCATGTGATTGTGCATTTTTTTCGAGTTGTATAGTATTGAACTTTTAACTAACTCTGAGCGTGGGGTAGGTAGATAAAGATCTTGCTCCGCGTTTCTGAGTGGATAAGTGTGAGATGGCCTTTCTTGAGAAGCTGATACATGCTCACATATTAGGCAAACGGATTCAAATATAAATAAGGAAGGAAGATTTAATATTTTTAATTTTTCAAAAAAGTCCTGGCAATGAGTTCTGCTGCTTAGTCCCAGTGAATATCGAACAGCTCTCTTCTGGAGCTTGAAAATACGGTCAAATTGAGTCGCACAACACGTACCCCAGAATGGAAGGGCATATCTGCGTGCGACTCAAAAAGTGCATAATAAACAGTTCTAGCCACTGACAAGTTAAGCTCCTTAGAACCATCTTAATGCAAAACAGGCAGAGCTCAATTTGCCCCTGTTTTTTTACCATACGGTATTTTTTATGTCTCTTTGTTATAGGTTTGCCAGTGTGACAACGAAATAGTATCGCGATTTGAAAACGACTTTAAGCTGACCTTGCAGCAGCAAAATTCACTGGAACAGTGGGCGTCTTGGCTAAAAAACGTAGTTAAGAGCGCTCTGAAGCCGTACGAGGGCAGACCCAGTTTTTCCAAGGCAGCTAGACAGTTTCTTTTAAAATGGAGTTTCTATAGGTAAATATTTATGTGATTGTAAAGGAAATCGGTAAAAAATATTTTTTTTCCAGTTCAATGGTGATAAGAGATTTAACTCTTCGATCTGCCGCAAGCTTTGGATCGTTTCATTTAATTCGTCTACTTTATGATGAGTATATGTTTTATTTGATCGAACATCAGGTTGCTGAGGCTACTGGAGTAGTTCCAATTGCTGTCATTTTGGAAGGAATTGTAAGTAGTAAGGCTAGTGTGCATTTAATAAATAAACAAGAGACAGAAGCTATTTATTATTATACTATTTTATAGTCATAATTAAAGAAGGAAGCGATGTAATTGAATATTTTTTCCGTTTTGTTTGTCTTTTTCCTTGAGAATTTTGAATATTTTTGAAGCTTCTCTGTGTTAATTTTTTATAACTTCTTGTTTATTTTATAATTATTGATTTTATGCAAAGCGTATAAATAAGGAAAACATTATAACTTGATTTAGAGTGAAATGAGCGTGAATCTTAGGAAAATGCTTCAAAAATACCTATATTTTTATTCTTGCATTTTACATTTTTTTTATTTATATCCAAAGTCTACAGTTTTCTTTAATATAAATAGATACTGTTAAATCCATTTTACAGTTGCCCAAGTCCCTTTGATCCAATTACAACTATGCATTATAACCTGCCTTCGCTTCTAGATTTTTTATGGATTGTATCAACGAATTATTTTTTTCTTATAGAAACAAGATATAATGCAAAACAGTTTATGTATTTATGGAAACAACGATTCTGTATATAATGGTGGAAAATTAGGATGCGTCAGTCCCACAGAACATTTAACCAAACGACAGAAAATCAGCTAGCCTGGACAGGTGTTGTAGGTAGTAACGAGTTTAGTCTTTGGGTCCCAGTAGGAATATTTTTATAATACTAAAGAGATTATTGGAATTGTTGTTATACATAAAGCATACCATTTTTTCTTTAAAATGAGAATATAAGTCGGTAATTTATGTGCACTTTTTCTATGTAGTTGCTTTTTATCAATTTTTCAAAGTTACTTTTGTGGTATTGTTGAAATACTCACAAATTGCCTTTTCTGTTATCAGATGTTTTTTTCTCTTAAAAGGGGAGAAAACCTGTATAAAAACGGAATAATATTAACTTATTAGATCTTTTTGATTCTTGTACGAATTCTTTTTTTACATAAGAGAACTTTCATTGAAACATTGTTTTAATTTTACAGGTGTAACAGTCAATTTTATCATTATGAACTGTGTGTGACTCATTCTCTATAAAATAAAGTTGTATTTATTGAGTATAAAATCTTTAAAGCTTCACATTCATGGCGCCCAACGTGGAGCCAGCTGAAATCGTGAGAAGTTTGAGCCCCACGTTGGGCGCTAAGAATGCGGCGCTTTTAAAATTTGATATTTGATATTCAATAAATGCAATTTTGTTTTATAGATACATAATGAGATACACAGAGTTCGTAACGAGGAAGTTGACTGTTACACAGAAGGTTATTCTACTGTAGTCTGTCTAACTCAAGAATGTATGATAGTGACTTTATAGAAAGTTATAGAGTGAATTTTTGTAAGGAATCGATTTAAAGAGATATAAGTATATTGTTAAATATTAATTTATGAATTTACAGTAGGTCAAAACCTTTTATATAGTCTGTACCACGATAGTTCAACGATACGTTATCATTATTTATTTTATATCCGTTTTAGAGTGTGTCCGAGATTATTTCATATTCTTTAGAAAATTTAAAAAACAAGTATGTTCCGATATTAGTAATTGAGCGCGTTGAGATTTATTTATTTATTATTAATTTCAAGTAGGAATTTTTGGTTGTTTTAAGTTGTTATTTCAATTTCAACAACCGGATTAAAATTTTGTTTGACATTGTAGTCGATTTTTAATTTTGACACTGATATTCGTCAACAGGATCATAACCACAAACGTGAGATGACAGCTACTCGAAACAATGTGCAGTGATTTACGCAAGGTCGTAATGACTTTTACACTCAATTTCATTTCGTTTTCACCTCTAAGAGAAAATACGAGGATATATGACGTAACGTTGAGCTATGATTGTACAGACTCTATCTAGTTTTACCATACAAGACCAAAATACATTTTTTAACATTTAATTTTAATTTTAAAATTATTTGGTAGCATTTATGAACTCATATCGTGTAATGATTAAGTTTTAATCACCTGTTAATGATATTCTTACATTGTTGGGCATACGTGCGTCTGGTCCTTATATAGTCTGTCCGACGAGAGGATCCTTGACAGTGATAGACCATTATCTGTCATTTTAAATCACAGATAAATTGGATTTTCTGTCATTTTTTGGATGTCGTCTGTCGAAATATTCTCCGACTCATTGGACAGACTATACTTTGACATAATATACGGGAATGTATCATATTTTAATAATATTATTACGATTATGCATGAATAATTACTTAATCTTTTTATTAGCATGTATTTAAAATAATGTTTTAACGTTGAGTCGTCATTTTATTATTTTTTTTATTAATTTTAATGAGATATATTTTGATATCAATATTTTATTAAAATAAATTATAATTTATTTTAATTTTAATTATAAATATTTTATATTAATTTATTGATCTCGTGTCCCGTTTATTAATCTGCATAACGACAATTTGAATAATCCTTTAGGTCTTTTTACTTTAGTACCAAAATCCTACTGGCCCATAGTAATAGTTTACGTTTTATTATATTTTTGTTATAATTTTTGTTTGATTTTGTTGTTGTTTTGTTAACCGTTGCTTTATTTATTGCACTGATTTGTAATTTTATTATTTATTTCAATAAATACTGACTGTTGGATTGTATGCCGATTAATTTATATAAAATCTAGTGTTGATTGGTGTAATATTTTATTTCTGTAACTATTTTGTACTTGTGTTGAACGAATTGAAACACAATTGATAGAATATGGATGGTTTTTCGGCAATCGGCAATGTATGTAGATATAGAAGATTAAAATGTTTTTATCCCTTTTCATATTACTTATGTGTGCAATACCATTAAAAATTCTTTTTTAATTTGGATATAACAACAGTACTTTTTTAAAAAATAATTAAAATTATTGCAGACATATTCAATCAAATTGATATTCAACCTTGCGCTATATTTAAACTATTGTTTTTTGCTATATTATAGATGTAATACATAATCAAAAACAAATATTTGCAAACACAGTATTTATTTTTTGCAAATACAATATTTGATTTTGGAAAGTTTTACAATATGGAAACTACCTTTGAAGAAAGTTTATATGGACTTTCTTCAGCATATTCAATAACAAAAAAAAATCGTGATTTCGATCCTAGGTACACGTTTATGAGTTTTTTTTTCAGTTAAAAAATATATCTTGATAATATGGCAACAAAAGGTAGTAGATTAAATTTAGCAGGAACGAAAACACATTACAAAAATCATGTGAATCTCTCAAACAATTTAAGATTTTTTCTTTTTAATTTTCAAAAAAAAAAAAAAAAAAAAATATTTTTTGAACTTTATTTGTGATTTTCTAAAAAAAAAAAATATGTTTTTTATATATTTATTAAAATTTGTAAAAAGTATTCGTATATTAAATATACCCTATATCCTGTATAGGCTATAATAGTGGGATTAAGTGACAAAATATCGAAACATGTTAAATTAATGTTTATTATACAAGATATCTCAATAAATTTACTGCAATTTCTTTTAATTTTCAAAAAAAATTGGTTATTTTGGAAAATTATTGGAAAAACGGCATTGAATTTTGATTTTTATCAGTGGCGTAATATTCTTTTTTATCTAATAATATAAAAAAAAAATTTTGAAAATGTTTTTCTGGGCCCACCCTTCGTGCAATGCATGATCGAAAAGCTCCGCAAAATAAAATTTAATAAGTTAGGTATTTGCATATTTTAGTTACATTTATGTTAAATATTCATAACACCCCGGCACAAAATTCCGACACCCTAAAATTTCGATGTTTCATAACTTTTGAACATTGTAAACCGATTGTATTATTTATGGATTTATGGCATTAGTTTGTAGATAAATTTGTTGCTATTTTTTATTATTTTTGATCGTTTATTACAGGGTGTTTCAAATAAACATTTTGCGCCATCTTTCGTGGGAGTTGCCTTACGTAAAAATAAAATTTATTTTTCATATTCAACATAGGTCCGATTCTGCTTTGTTATCGTAGCTACAGGGTGTTAAAGTCTTTTTTTTTTAATTTATTATAATTTTCTTCTAAGTACTTTTAAGTGATTCGAAGTGAAATTTGGAGTGTTAAAATCAAAGTTAAAAAAGTTACTATAAGTCTACATTTTTATTGCTAAAATGCGTCAATAAATTCATCAGGGGACGGGCATATGGATTATCACGAATATTTTTTCAAAAAAAAACATGTTTGCGTCACTGACTTTTTCATTTCTAATATCAAAATTATGTAGGCCGTTTAATACCAATTTGTCGACATTTTGGATACGGACATTTTGTCGAATTTCTGGCCTCCTTGATGAGATAAACAATTTTATTAATCACAATAATTTAATAAAATTAAAATTAAAATAAATGAATAAATTTAGTATATTTTACCTAATTATTATTAAATATTATTATTATTATTAGTTATCTATTACTGATTAGTCCAACCTACGGCAATGTCAAATAAAAAATTATTGATCTTTAAGATAATTACAAAAAAACCTTAATTTTAAAGTTTTAATTTCTGTTAATTTCTACAAACTATGCATTCCATACCCATGTATATGTGAAACTTTTTTTTATTTTCTTGGTGAGGAATCAATGAGTACTTATTTTAAAATTTTTTTTTTTTTTTTTTTTTTTTTTTTCAGGTAAGATTATCAGAAGGTTGCTACTTTGCCATCCAACGGTCCAAGTCTAAACTTGGGCCTTGGTCATTAATAAAATTACGTTTAATCTTATCAATGAGGCCGAAATCAAGAGGGGGAAACCAACTTATAAAAAATTTCGCACTAAAACTGCTCTACACTATGACCCCAACAAGATGCAAAAAAAGATCAGTCGGCCGTACCGCATGGCTTTTTTTAGAAGCAATATTCCCAGCTGCACGATTAACCCATATGCACGTCCCTGGTGAAGTATGTCGACGACATTTTTAGGCTTTAAAACATATGTCCGCACTTTTATTAGTACGAACTTTTACATTTCTCAACCAACACATTTCATTTGACAAAGCTTAAAAGTTAGTACTTGGAAAAAAATCATAACCTAAACTCGCTAATCATATTAACACTTTAACGTAGCTCTAGTAGCTAACGAAAACAAAGCAGGATACGGACTTATCGATTATAATGAAAAATAAATATCAATTTTTACGTGAGGATCTACCACGCATGTGAATCGGCACATGTTTTTTGAAACAACCTGTATTATTTCGGTTAGGTGGGTTTAAACAGGGATAAATCAAAACGTTGTTTTTTTTTTTTTTTTTATATTTTTTTGACATATTATGTGTGAACTTTTGACATTTTGGATTAAAAAAAACCATTCTCTACGATTGTATTCCTAAGCCTTTCATTTCTTTGACATTATCTTTGTATTTGATGGAAAATGGGAAGCTCCACTGGTCCCGTTATATTGAGATGCTTTCTCCAAGAGGAGTTGTCGTTCCATTTTCTTCTTTCGTTGGAAATCAGTTTATGATGCGTGATAATGCCAGGCCCCACTTTGCGCGGGGTAACGAGTTATGAGTATGAGTAGTTAACGAGAACCTGGATGAGGTTGGACAACAAAGATTCGAATGGCCTCCTTGTAGTCCTGACCTCAATCTAATCGAACATTTTTGTGCGATTGAAATTAAAAGAGCTGTCCGTCGTCGTCCTATTCTACCACAAACTCTACAAGGAGCTTGATGACTTAGCATTTTCACGCACCAATCATGGGAGGCAATCTCCGTTAATTTAACCTGAGCTCCTTTAAATGGTTTTTCTTGTCTATAGCTTGATATTCATCAACGATCATAGAATTCAAGAAGACATAACCTTAACCCTTATCTCGTCGATACGACGAAGCACCTCGGGCTCGTTATTGTTGCAAAGAGTGGACATACACAGCTGATCAAAATTACGATTACAAATTATTCGCTTTGTTTTCTATATAAATAACCATCTCTGCAAATCTACTAATACTCATTACTTAACAAAATGTGTTAGCCTTCAATAAAGAGCATCAGGGATAGTGGGTATAATTCACAACAAATGAAGCATATTTTAGGGAATCAATCTAAGAATACAGGAAAGTGTTTTTTAATCCAAAAATCAGTGCACAAAAACAACGTTTTTGATTTACCCCGGTAAAAACCCACCTACCCGAAGAAGCAAACCATTAAAATAATAAGAAATCATGCCAATACATTTGTCTACACCACATAAAAAATATATCATAAAAAATCCGATTACAAAATAAAAACGTTCATGAAACATCAAATTTACGTCATCAACCTTTTAGGGTCGGCGGAATTTGTGCCGCATCGGTAGCCTTATAGGTATATTCAACTCTTTTTTCATTGAAATTAGGCCATCTCGTTTCTGCTGAGGAAACCCCTTAACTAGATTGACAGATTTGTCTGTAAGCTTGTATCTATTAAAATTTAAAGTATGTTTGCACGATATAAAATGCTTGCACACACGACAGATACTAGTAATCTATTCTACGATCATGACTTGTGTATACGTCGTTATTTTTTTAATTCTTCCTACTAGCGACAAGACGTCCGATCTATTCAGATTCCCGTTATTATTATTTTGCACTATGGAATTGGTCACAATACCTCATGACGTTACATTACGAATTAAAATCTTCACAATCGAATGACCGGGCGACAGCGGTGTACTTTAATTATTGTAGATATGTGGCTATTGCTCAAATGATATCAATCCATTACACCAGTAAATTTAACTGAATGTAATGGTAATTAAGCCAGACAGATTTACCAGGGTACATAATATTCCTCTTGGCAGTACAAGTAGGTGTTTATATTAAAGTGTTAAAAATGAATATCGCTCTCATCGGCAGCGCTATAGTAATAAATTGAGTATTCATCAAATTATTTGGATAAGAAATAGGTGTTTAGTAAATTCAGGGATAACGGATTGCACTCTGTAATCAATGGCAATGGGAAATAATTGAAGCAGGTGGTCGATATAGACAAGCCATAAGAGCTCGGACTCATGTGACGATTCAGTGTTCGCAATCGACCTGGCTCGCTCGCACTAAGTGGTATTAACCCAAAAGTGGCCAATATTCAAAGAAATCTAAATTCAACGAGATATCACCAAAGACCGATACCAGGAATTATTTGTATAAACGTATGTATTCGAGGGTGGGTGGTAGTGGTCAATGTCCCCCCGTGTTACAATCCGCGCCAATCACAAACTGTTCTTCGAATAGAGGGGGTGTGATCGCTGTGGTTTATGAAAATTTAACT